CCCCCATCCCCACAGAACCCCAATATCGCAGTCAGTCAGCCCCCCCCCTCCATAAAAACCCCAAACCCCTCAAAACGCAGTCGACAATCTCTCCGTGTGACAATGGGCGAATTAAGCTGGTTACTCACGGTGTATGAGCTTGCGTTTCTTTTGTTCCGAGTGAAGGAAGCTGCTCAAGTAGAAGATGATGGGCAGAAAGAGCATGAAGCTGGACACGGCGATGACAGGCACCGTCTCCTCGCGGGGGAGCGAACAATCGTACTCCTTACTCCACAGTTTGCGAGTCACATTCATCTGAAACGAGGCAAGGTGCCAAACTCAACACAGACTTCAGCTGAGCACAATTATAGGACACTGTTAATACGACCCTGTTGATTTCCTGTGCTCAAATGTTCACTGCATTCAGGCATGTGACAATATCTTGCTCTGATGACACTCAGGGAGAGGTAACAGCAGCATTAATCCTGCAACCCTAACAAGCATCCTTTTCTCATTTTTTATAAGATTAGTTTTCCACTTCTGATTATGGTCCTGAATCACAGATCCGTTTGCAAATGTTCTACTTTTTTTCACACCAAGATACAAGTTTATCTTATCAATGCCCTGAAATACAAAGGAGATATTTTAAGGCAAAAAAAAAAAAAAGCATCTCATTCCATAACCAAGGCTTTTAAAATACTATTGGAATTTGTTGTTTCCTCCATTCCCATAAAATGTTACAAGGTTTAGGCCTGACAAACATATCCAGAATAGATTATCCTGGTACCAGCTGAAGGTTAGTAAAGACCTCTTTAATGGTCTTTTAGTGCCGACAAATTCCTGTAGGGGGCGCAGCTTTCTCTCTTCCAAACTATGAACTTCTTTAAATGCCTGACATACATACCACATCCTCTATGTCAATACACATGGTTTTGTCGGTCTCCATTCGGCCGTACAGCTCATTCAGGCCTCGGTAGGTTTTCTTACAGTTTTTGCACAGCTCCGTGTGATTCCCCTGTGAAGAACAGACATCATAAATAACATCGGAACAGAAACTCATGATGGACACACAGATTTCATAGACTTATATTTGGCGTACCTCTTTATATTTCTCAAAGCAGGTGAGAGTTTGGTTGACGAAGCTCATGAAGTACAGCGTGTCGTTGGTGAGGCTGTGGAATCCTTTAGTGACACAGCCTGCACAACAGGAAGAAAAAACAGCCGGCCGTTATTTATTTAGTTCAAATGGACACATTTAATCAAATAATAAAGAACTCACATAACCCTTTTTTTTCCCAAGCTCTGAACCAGGTTTTATAAAAACAAAAGATTCCATATGGGGATCCTAGAGTTTTACCTTCTTATTCGTCAACAGTTATTGCATTTTAGTTGCGTTTCATAGTAAACTGATTTTTTTTCTTTTAAGGACGAGCTTTTTGATGGGTTAACCATGCGCTTTAGGACATATATCGCACATTATTTTACTTTCTTCAGCCATTTTTTAAACCTAAAGAAAAAATAAATAGTTCATTGATCAACAGTCAGTCATCACATAATGGTCCTTAATGTAAAACAACATGCATATTGAATCCTACTGACAGAAAACAGTGTGGAGATCTACCAAATCTGATTCAATTATCCAGCTTCCATTGCTCTCCAATAAAAAGCCAGTCACATGTTTGATCTCTGCTGCAACCTCCACTGTGACCACAGTCCGCTTTAATTAAAGCACGCCAAGAAAAACACCAACTGAACCCGGCCTCTACTTGACCCCGCACTCTGACCTCTGTGGTCAAATGCATCGCCATATGTGTGAATCAGAAGTTCAAACGTAGGCACGTGTTCACATTTACACAAGTCCAACCCTAACATTTCAGACATGTCCAGTTTAAATCCATGCAGAATACCTACTGGCACAGTCTGATTTGCCCCAGATGTCTTCCAGGTTGTTGTAGAGCAGATAAACCAGCATCAGGCGATCGCTGCGCAGAATGCTGTCCCTGCAGCTCTCATTGGCTGGAACCACCTGAGGACACACAGACACACTGCATCAATTATCTGTACAGGGAGGGAGAACCATTGGATTGTATCACCAAGAACCCCTCGCATTAAAGGTCCCATGTCATGGCCATTTCTACTGATCATAATTCCATTGTTGAGGTATACTAAAATAGATTTATATTGTGCAATTTTCCAAAATCCCATTGGTTTCACATACAGCATCTCTGTATAATATGTGTATTCAGTCTCTGTCCTAAACAACTTGTTGGAGCTCCTCTGTGTTAGAGTTTTACTCGCTACAGGGTGTACTTTGAGGGTTTGAGACTTTGCAGACCGTTTACATGCAGGAAATCCTTCATAACACACAAGGGGACGGGTAATAACCAGAAAAGCATGAATGGGACCTTTAAGTGGATCATCGTAAATGTATAATATTGGGATCATCATGAGTTTCCTGACCTAAAAAACCTGCCTAGCGCGTAGAGTAAAGTAAAAAAATGAGCCCAATTTTAAAAGTCAGTAACAACTTGCAAAATGTTGCTTTTATTAAAAATGGATTCATTCATTTATTTATGCCAGGGCCCCTTTACAATGTATGTTGACTGTTCAGTGCTGTTTAAAGAGTTTTAAGTATATTTGAAGTATTACTGTAAATCCCAGTAACTTTTTGTAGGATAATCGGGATAGAAAATGCTCATATTCAAGTGGAATGTAACTAATTACATGTTCTCAAGTCCTGTAGTTTTAGGCAGATACTCTTACCAAAAAATATTGTATTATTTACTCAAATTATTTTTGTTTTACACTGTGTTACTTTTAAAAACATGATATGATTATATGATACGATGCAGCAGCAGTACTTAACTACTTAATTTCCCAGTAGTATACAAAGTATCACGTACAAATAACAACTGAATACTGCAATAATCTATAATAATATAACACTTTGTAAGGAGCCGTTCTGCATAAATACATTACCTTAAATATGTTTTTGATGTACTTCATTTTTAGTAACAATCAGAGTTCAGGATATTTACTTGTAATGGAGTGTTCGGTAGATCGATAGAAGTACCAGAGTTTAGGAATAAGTAAAGTTAAAGTCCTGCAATCAAAATCCTCAAGTAAAAGAAAAGTAATGGCATCAAAAGGAACTTAACGTACCAAAAGTAAAAGTACTCATTATGCAGAGTGGCCCATTTCAGAATAATATATATTAGTTTTGATTAAAATGATTGATGCATTAAAGTGTTATCAAGCTGGTAAAGGAGGCATGTGGTGCAGTGGACTAGTGCGCTGGTGTTCGGAACAGGTTCAAACCCCACTGCAGTCAGCATTTCGTTGTGTCCCTGGGCAAGACACTTCACCCCAAATTGCTCCTGTGGTGATTGTCCACAGTATTGAGTATGTAAGTCGCTTTGGATAAAAGGTGCAGTTAATTTTAATGACTATGTATACTGAAGGGTAGCTTGTGAATTTACTCCAGGTGTAACTAAAGTCTCACATTTCACATCCAAATCTGCAAAGTAACTAAAGGTATTAAATGTAGTTGAGTAATAGTACAGTCTTTACCTCTGAATTGTAGTGGGTAGAAATAAGTACTTAAAAGGTGGGGCATGTAATTTTGGAGAAACCAGGGTTGCGTTCCAATAGTCCATTTAGCTTAGGAACCTTCCTAACCAAGTGAAATGACCCGGAAGTACGGCAGTGGCAGCCATGTTAAGTGCCGTTCCAATTCTCTAAATGAAAGGAAAGGAGGTTTCAAACTTCCTTTAGCTTAGGAACCACTGGACCTCCCTTTACGAAAGGAGAGGAGAAAATGCTGCCCCACAATGCCTTGCAGTCGCAGCATTTGCGTCACACAACAGTCGGCCGTTCACGGAAACAAACGATTATGACGGAGAAATTATATCATGAAAGTTACGGTGCTGATTAAGCATTTTAAAAACGTATGTGGTAAGTTGCCAAAGTGCTTTGTTTTGAACGTTCATCAGTATTATAATCAAAAAGAGAAATATGAACGTTAGTTTTGACTGAAATGATCAAATAAAGTCAACATTTCACTGAGCTGTGTGGGGTAACTAACGTTCATATTTCTCTTTTTGATTATAATACTGATGAACGTTCAANGTATGGGTTTGCGGCGCAGTACAGTTTAATGGGGGGGCTGCCGATTGTGACAGCTCAGATTCACATGGGTATGGGGGGCATAGTTTGGGGATGATGTCATGCAAAGGCAACCTGGGGGCTTGGGAAGTAAGAAGGAGGGGGGAGCTGAGACTGAGCCACAGGGGCCACTCAAAGTTAACATCGCTGCGTGCATCTGGGCCAAATCCTTTTCTTCTGGCCCAGGAGAGGCTTTCCTGAACGCCAAGCCCTCCACCACTCCTCCCACTCCCTCGTTCACAAATCAGGGCTTGCTTTAAAGCTAACCCCTTGCTAACTGACTAGCTAACTGCCTTTTCTTTCCAGCCTAACTGCCTATTCATCCCGGGCCCACTATGAATAATAGCTGGATAACATCGAGCTGCAATACGGCTTCGCTGCTTTTACAAAACTTTTTATTCAGCTTTTGCTTTGAGTCAACATTATTCTGTATTTAAACTTTAATTTACATCTTACTTTTGAAAAGGTAAAGGTAGCAACACATTTCAAGAGGCATGGATTTGGCTGAATACTTTCACTTTTCTGTCGACATCAATTACTTTCTCTGATGCTGCATCCCCAAACTGTTATAAGAAAAGTTTGTAATTTAAAGAAGGGGTTTTCATTGCTAATGGTACACTGTGCAATGTGTTGTTCATCTGTCCGTGCACATGTAAGCACTTTTACGCTCAGGGCACAGAGACATCCTGCACATTTCTAATGGCTACAGAGGGCAGTAATGCATTTCAAGGGGTTAGAGTAAGTAAGTAAGTAATATGACATAAAAGGCAGCAATGACACATGAAAGATGAGTAGAAGAAGAATGTGATGCAGGAGTCTTATTTGTTGAATGTTATATCCGGTATAAAAAAACATGTTTGTTAAACTAGGTGGGTTTTGGTGAAAAGGCTCGAATCAGTATGCTGCATTCAAATGAGTGCTAATGTTTAAGTGAAACTAGAAAAAAGTCACAATAAGTCACTGATAATGTCATGTAACAGAAAGATAAGAATTCTGAGAAATGTGCTGCATAGTTGTTAGGATTAGCTTGTTTTGTTTAAAACGTTGTCCTTTTCAGGTAAACAAATATTATGTTGGTTTATACAACATGTATCATCAAATTGGCATAAGAGAGCTATTCAATTAAATAAATAAAAAAACAAGTTAATAGTGGTCACCTCCTTTTATAGAGCTCTAAATCTCTTGAACTACAACAAAAAGCAAATAAAAACACAGCACAGGTCCAAGTTAGATGCTTAAAGTCCCCGGCATGCTCATGCTATATGCTGGCATGCTGTCCTGTCCATGCGTCTCCTGGGACATGAACCCCTCACCCCACCCCCTCCTGGGGGACTAATTTGAGGGGAGGGACGATGTGTTTTGTTGCTTGTCAGAAACAATCACTCCCGGCCCATTACATTTACAGCACGTCGTGCTTTCAATGCTGTAACGCACTGAGCGCTGAGAGGGGGAAGATGGCTCTGAGATGACCGTGGAGAGAAATCATATATTTACTTATAACAAGTTGTTAAAGAGGCACAAAACTGTCAAAATGTAAATTCTGCATTGTTGATTGTTTGGAACCAGACCGATTAGATTTCAATAAAGGATGCCTTTGGTGGGTTTTCCTCTAAATTAGTGAGATTAAAGTGAATAACAACTTTATTTAGTACGCCCTGTGCCGCCCCCACCCCTCTCTTGTCCCGGCCCACCCGTCCTCTCCCTGTTCTGTTTGGGCACTGGAGGTTGTCAGTCGGGGTTTATGTCCAGTTCACTGGAGCTGAAAGAAGTCAGTTTCATGTCTTGTTATGGAACAAGACGTCTCTGCCTCTCAGGAGTGATGAGAAGTGGTCTGGGTGAGCAGGGTGAGCTGGGTGAGCAGGAGCGGGACCGTCCCCTCCAGGCGACCAGCAGTGAGGAAGTCAAAGCGGCTTTTGTGTGGCTGCTGTCGGCTGCGTGTTTGGTAATTATCCCCCTCTATATGAGCACAGACCAGGCTTTCCAGGAGAGGTCCCAACCTAACTGGCCCACGGAAGAGTGCACAACACACCGTCAACAAAGATTAACTTCTCACAGTGCTGCAGAGATGCCTGATTGGGGGAGACACTGCAAATACTGAAACCCGCTCTTGTGTGACGTGAGCAGATCTGCAGTCAGACTGTTTCAAACTGTTGCAGAGATTAGATAGTGACACCTGTAGAGATGATTTACCTGTAAGAAGGTCAAAACACCTCCATCCTTCTCCTACTTATCTTCAGTGGTGGAGGAAACATTCAGGTCCTTTTTAAAAGGAGAACTTCAGTGTTGTTCAACCTGGAACCTATTTTCCCATGTTTTTGTGTAATGACTAATGGGGGATAAACCATTTTCTAAATTGGTCCATTATTAAGCGAGAGTGCATCAACACAGCAGCCGAGAAACGTGTTGCAATGTAATTCATCTGGACAATTGTGCTACATCAGTGGATGTTCTCTTAAAGTGCTTGTTTTGCTGAGAGGCTTAGATTGGTGATGACAGTGTCCAACAACATAATGGAGAAGCCCCTTAAGAGAAATGAAACATTTTCCTTTACCTTTCACTTGAACCAATCTGTTTGTTATTGTGTCTAGGCCCCGCTTGCACATGACATGACATTATCTTTTGAACACTGTTGTGTTCAAAGTGAAAGCAACATTAGTATGTTATAGCTTTTGGAGGTGAAGTCATTTTTAAAAAGTTTATAATCTGTTAGTCTGTTGGGTATGCAGTGGTTTCCAATTGAGGCGGTTGGACCCCCTCTAAAGGGACACAAGACAACTCTAAGGAGTTTTAGCGTATTATATATCTAAAAAGTACATTACATTACTACATTCGTTCAAGAAATGGAGAACAATATTTCTCTAT